TAGTGGTATAAAAGAAGTAGTCCGGACAAACTTTAAAATTTAAAATTATTAAAGGGCCATAACTCTGCCAAAAATCATTGAACCGGAAAATGCTGACAATATGCACAACTAGACTTGGTACTGATCCTTCCTGTAAAGTTTGGATGAAATTGCACCAGTAGTTTATGAGGAGTAGTCCGGACAAGTTTTGTGACGGACGGACGGACAGACAGACGACGGAGAAGTGATCCCTATATGTCGCCACTACTCCGTAGAGGCGACACAAAAATCAGAATAATTACAAATATAATCATCGATCAATTTTTATTATATGTTAAAAAAAAGTTTTTCTAATTCAATTTATATCAATTGATAATAAAGTTACAAATTTATTAAACATCTAAATGCTTCAATAAAATATTTTTTTTCTCTAATTTATATTAATATTTGATAATTAACTTACTGATTTATTGTTGCTGATGATGCTTACAAAATTGAAACTTGAATTAAACATTAGAATACTTCATTAAAGTATTTTTCTCTCTAATTTATTACAATTTATAATAAACCTACCGTACCCATTTATTTAACACCTAAACACTTCAATAATTTTTTTTTTTCTAATTTATATCAATTCATGATAAAATTATCCATTTATTATCATCTAAATACTTTAATAATAATGTAATTATAAAAATAAAAATGGGGAAGAACTGTCTTCTAATTTGCAAATATGCAGACAGTTCTCCCCCAAAATAGGGAGACAACTGTCAGGGAGGAAACGTCAGAGGAGGAACTGGTAAGGGAGAGAATAGTCTGACTACCTTCCCCCCCCCCCCCCCCCCCCCCCCCCCCCCCCCCCCCCCCCCCCCCCCCCCCCCCCCCCCGAGTTAATTTACAAAAAGATGCCTGGGGCCTACAAGTATTGTAGTGTGTCCCATTGACGATTAAATTGGTAAGTAATATTTTTATTTTTTTTTTTGTATCACTAAATTAAATGATAATTATTAAAAGTATACTAAATAATGTAAAAATACCCACACCTGACATAAGCATTTTTTATTTATATCCAAATGAATGAAAACAATGTTAAATAATCTTTAAGAAATCTGATATTTCATAGATGTCTGTCTTTGAAGGGCGACAATCGTCTATATAAAAAAGCCCTAAAGCGCACAATTTGTTTTGTTGGGCTAGATAAATATCATGAAATCCTAGACCCTGTGAATGGTCGCAATAATCGTTTCTGTGGTTTTAGACATGTCTACGTCCACGCCAGGGATTTGAAATCAAATGGAATAAAGATATTGTTTTTGTTTAAGAAGGAGATGGTCAATGTACATACGAGGTCGAACAAAAAGATGACAGTCAGCCGAAAATATGCATTTATCCGAAAACTATACGACTTTTTAAATTCAGCTGTATCTTAAGGAAAATCATTGTAAGCAAAAAAATAAAAATTCAGCACATTAATAAAAGCAATGTGTTATGAATTTGAACATGTATAATATATTTCTTTATAGCAAGAAAGACACAATCAAACCTTTTACCTTGTTTTAGTTTGATTGGTGACCTTCGATTATCTCCCTTAGAAGGTGACACTAATTTTCGTCTACGACGGACTATATGAAAAACACGGTAAAATCACGGAGCCCCCCTTGCCCCCCGCAAAAAAAGACGTCATGAAGTCTTTTAAACATTAATAAATTAGAAAAAACCGATATCATGAATAAAGAAAAAACTATTCAAAAAACATTTTTTAACCAAAATTTAGGGGGATAAATTCACTGTTTATAAACCAGATCATACAAAAAATTAATAAAATTAAGATTGGATCTTGGACATAAAATTTTTAAAATGCGCCAGATTTTGATGCAGGGTTATAATAGCAAAAAAAAACCTGTTTTAAAATTACCGAGTACCCTGAGAAAAGTCGCTATTTCTAGGGTTAAAATTATAGTTTAAATTTTGAGTTTTTTAAAAATTATGGGGGATCATGGATTTTTTTAAATTCGGGTAATAAGTTTTTGGGGGTTAAAATTTTTAAAAAGGGAAATTTTTGGGTTTAGTTCAGTGAAGGGATGGGAAATTTATTTCACCGAGTGAGCACCAAAAGGTATATTTCACGAGTGGCGCAGTCACGAGTGAAATATGAACTTTTGGTGTTCACAAGGTGAAATATATTTCCATCTTACACTAAACTAAACAAATTTTCTTTTTATTATATGCAAAGAAACTTTTTAAAAAGACATAAAACCAAAAACTGAATGAAAAGCGCGCCAAATAATAAAACGCGACGTCATTTACGATGTCACGTCATTAAGTTGGTACCCAATACTGTGCACCCTGGTATTTCATTGAAACAACGTAAGGGGCTTAAATTCAAAACAGTGAAATTATCAAAGTGGTAATTTCACTGTTTCAAACAGTGAAATTACCAGTTTTATGTCACTGATATATTTCTATAAACCATCGAAAAGCATGTTATAAAAAAGTATCTTTATCTATTACTTGTTTTTGATTCATAGATTTTACAAGAATGGATCACACTTGGCGCCTTAGATACTTGCTAGTAAAATCATCTCAAGTTTGTGATAAGCTACACCTAAAATAACCATTTTGTACCTCCACACTGACTGCGATAACAGTTCCTGAATCAATTCACCAAACTAACTAGTTTGAATATTTAAAAAATCAGGGAAATCATTATAATTACATCACAGTCTGAAATATTGAGCAAAAAATTGTCAGCCATTGCACCAATTCACTTTTAAGATTATCAATTTGTAATGTACCATTAATTTATGCCATATTATTTGCCCATTAAAAAGTATCATTCTTTATTATAGGCTACATAGGTTTTAAGCTCTTACAAACTAAGACTTAAAGCAGTTTTTATGTAAGACAGTTTGCCTGTAAATGAGCAGTGTATACTTTTTGCAATGTCTGAAATACTTTTCTGTTGTATGCATTGTTTTTTATTTTATTTTTTTTGTCATCAGTCTTTTACCCACTATAGATATGATATTGTGTCTTTATTTACCTGTATATATTATCCTGTATATTTTAAGCAAAACTATCATACAATATCCCTCTACTTTTCTCAGTGAATAAAACAAAGTATAAATGGAGGCATAATACTGCAAGTGCTTACCTGCTCTTTATCAGTGTTGGGACATCACAATACAGACATGCCAAGGTACAACAGTACCAGATATTTTGTCAATTGGAATAAATAAAACTGTTAAGGGTTATCAGGGTATGTTCCATGCTAAATGCCTTAGCTCTAAGCTGAGCTGAAAAAAATCAATGCAACAATAACACCTGGATCCCCTATAATTCATATAATTATGTTGAGGTTCACTAGGTAAAGCTACATGCCAAATATCAAAGCTCTTGATCTTGTCAGGCTTTCTATTAGGCTATGTGAAATATTTTTTGACCCCTTATTTTGACCTCCAGATTTATATAATTTTTTTTAGAAAACTACAAGGTCATAACCAAATATGTAAGCTCTTGGCATCCTAATCTCTAAGAGTTTCAAAGTAATTCTGGGGCAGCTTGTTTGATCCTTGGGCAAGGCAGAATTTCTTTGTGACAATTGATTCCTTAGATCAAGTCTATTGTCTCTCATAGCTGGTGCAGAAATCATATGGGACAAGTTGTGGGTCACTTGCAGAGAAAATTTGGAACTACTGGTAAGTTAACCAGGAAAGCCAGTTAAGTGGACCAACTGTTGATGTATAACCAACAATAGCACAACAACCACTTACATGTATATTACTTTTGTTAAAAGCCACCAAAGGATCATTCTTGTAAAGTTTTGTAAAAAATTTACCTTAAGAGATGTTGATTAAACAAATGTTTATAGTTTGATAATGTCAGGGCAGCCAACATCATATTATCACATAAAGTTAAAATTCTATCTTAACAATCAAACTAGATTGAGGAAGAACAAAAACATTTTTTCAGGTTGTTTATTTTTTATTCAATGAGATAGCAAGCTCTATATTCTAAGAAATACAAATGTAACTACAATCTATAATGTTGAGTAGTGAAGTACATGTGTATTAGAAGATAATATCTGACAATGACTGAATGGACATTATACTGAAAATTACAGCATGATTGAGATCATTAAAAGCACCATCAAAAATAATGAGATAAAAAATAATATCAATGTTTAATTAAATGAAGAATGAACGTTTATTTTTTTTCACTCAAAAAATATAAACATATTACAAGAAAATGTCTCATTTCTGGAATATAGAAGTATTCTGAATTTGTTACATTCATGGATCTTTTTTCTTTTCTTTTCTTGATTACTGTTACATAAATAAGCCCTATTTAAAAAAAGATAAACAAATACAAATTTATAAAAAAAGTTAAACAAATACAAATATATAGCATAGCATTATTGATTACATAAATATATTTAGTCCAGTAAGCGGCACAGTTGTGACATTTACACAGATGTCTCATTACAAATAAAACCAAATTTAAATAAATTATCCAGCCTACCCCAAAAATACAACTACATTTTGTATTTCATGTTACTATTGCACAGCACTATGATTTTAGTAGCTTGTAATGTTAATAGCATAAATACGTTTATAAAAAGAGTTTAAACTAAACTTAACTTTGTATTAAAAAACAGCATTTTAAAGTTTGTTTGATACATCTACCTAGATAATCTAACATTATCAGACTCACATGGACAGGATAAAAAGGAGAATGGAAATCAAAGAGAGAGAGACAAATAGACAAGAACAACAAAAAATACAGCACAGGTTAATAAAATATCTCACAAACAAATTACACAACCATTTACATCTATATATACATTCACCTGTAGCTACATTTTTACACAACTTTAACATAAAAAATATAAATATGCTTGTTTGTACATGTGTGCCATCTAAAAGTAATTCTGTGTAGTTTGTCTACACAAATAAAAAAATTTCCCCCGGAAATGTTTAATCTTTATTTTTTCCCCACTGGAAAAATATATAAAAGTATATTTTACCAAATTTTTCCCGAAACCAGTCTTACAGTTTGTTTTTCACAACCACAAATCAAAAGAGAAACCTTTTTTGAGCACTAACACATCAATTACTCAAATTTATAACCCAGTTTGTAAAAAGTTGCGTGTCCCTAATGGCTTTCGGATGGATGGTTCATTCTGAAAAATAGAAGAAAAAACAGTTGTAAGATTTTCACATTACAGACACATCTTTAAGATAAAAACAAAAAAAGTATAAAATTTTAAAGCATGATCTTTTTAATATAAATGAATAGCACATTGTTTAACTTTTATTAAATGTAAAGACTTACATTTTGTCAGACTATTTTAGAAAAGTACTTGCAATAAAAATCTCTAGAATCATGAAAGTTATGACAAAAAAGGAAAACAAACTAAATATTAGTAGTAAGCAAACAATAATTGTAGAAGCTCAAAATATAAGTTCCTGTAAATGGAAGTGATCTGAGCAACTGAAAAAGAACGATGTGTCAACATGTGTTATTATATGCTTAAAACAGTGTTAAATATGTACTAAAATGTGTTGTTATTCAATACATCTGATCAAATAATAAACGATAAACTTGTGTAATCATGCCATGTGTAAATATTATATGTAAATGGTGAGTACTAAACTTATAAAACAACTTTTACTTTTGACGTACCCTTTTTTCCCCTACTATTTTTCCCCAATTTTGCACAGGGAAAAAAAATAAGGGAGGAAAAGGGGGAGAAAAAATAAAGGATTTCTTCCAAATAATATATCTTATTTCCCCAACATAATTTAAGACAAATTTTTTTTAAATAAAATGTCTAATTTAAACATTTCTTGTATTCCAAAACAATTTAAAAAAATTTTTGTTGAAATTTTAAAAAAAAGAAAAAAAAACTTCAAAAAACAAAGCATAATCACAACGCCATTTCTTTAAAAAAACCCTTTATAAAAGGAAAGGGAATAAATGGGCCCGCAATATAAAAACCAAAATTCAAACAAACTGGCATTAAAACCCATTTTAAACTTCAACATCATCATTTTTACCAATCAAAACCCCCGAGATGTCTATGATTGTTACTTCTCCTTTTAATTCTAGGGGTCATTTTTGTAATTATTTGACTCAAAATCTTTCTTGGTGTAGTTTTGATTTTCTTTTCACTTTTTGAATTCTGATAGGCCAGCTGTGGTGTACTTTGTAATAAAGGATGAACCCGCAATGGTGTAAGTTGTCTTGGAATGCCTTTATTCCTGGATACAGAGGAGAGTATCTTTCCTGATACTGGTGTGCTTCCTAAATATTTAGGCTTTCTCGGTTGACGGTACATGTCTGGGGAACTATGAAGATGTCTAATATGCCTCTCTGAACGAGCAGATTTATTTGTCAGAAGATCATTCAGATTTTCCAGCCCCGTTTCAGGTGCACTATCAATATAATAAATTAATTTTTCAATTGGGGGGATGAACTCTAATTGGGCGTCTAATTTTAAATTGTTTTGGGCGATAGTCTTATTATTCTTTTTTTCCCTATATGTCTCCCTTCAAAGACTGGCAAGGGCTGGGGGAAGTTTTCCATTTAGGAATTTTGTCATTTTAGAAAATGATGAATTTTGGGTTTACTGGGAATTTTTCTGTCTCCATATTGAAAGGGAGATTTTTAACATTTTTGGTCTGCTCTTGGTACAATCCCTTTTTTGTTGACTACAAAATAAATTTCTAAAAATCACTTTACAATTTCATTTATTTTATTGGAACATCACACCCGATACGAGCTGAGAGAGGTCCGATTCAGACATATTTTTTTGCACCAGATGAGCATCAGAACCCACTCTGCTCAAACCATTCAGACTTGAACTTTCATTCAACACTCTAGTCCCCCTTTCTTGTTTCAAGGGTGAGAAAGTGCAAGCTCTGGAAACTGTACCTGTTGGATTTTTGTCACTAAATTTTGGACGTTGCTCACTGTTGCTCTTATCAAAAACATTTTTAAGATTCAAACAAGGAGTAATATTCCTACTGATTGTCTGCGAGCTGAAATTGTTTGGGGTAGTGTGTTTTTCAAACATGCTTATAAGATTACTGACCTGTGAGGATGAAGGGGGCTGCTTCTGAATAAATGCTTGCTGGCGTGTGAGACGATTGGAGTGGCCCAGGGAAAGTGGGCTGAATCCAACATTGAATGCAACACTCTCCCGTTTTGAATTCTATAAATTGGAAAAAAATAAAAACATTTTTTTTCAGCATTTATACATTATCTTTCAAAATATTTATTTTTCTTGTATCAATGTCATAAGACAATATTATTTTTTTTAATCCAGCAAAGGTACTTGTCAATTTTGTACATTTACATTTATTAGCAGTTTTTCCCCTAATAATCTAATAATGCATATTTATGAAACAAGAATTGAACAAAGACTTAGCAAGTATGCAAACTACTGCCTGCAATACCTTTTTGCCTGAGCCATTATTTGATCGAGTGTCCAATGCAGAACTCCGTTTAGGGGTGTTCTTTTTTGGAGTTCTTTTAGGTGTTCTTCTGCCTCGCAATGACATTGGTGTTCTTGGTGACCTTGAAGATGAACTCTTTCCAGAAGTTTGTCTTGTGTTTGGTGACTTTGACCCTTTTGAACTTCTTCGAGAATTGGCAGGAGTTGGAGGCCCTGGCTTTTGGTATACACATCCTGTCTTTGCCTGAAATCACACACATAAAGCTCAATAAATACATTACATTTAAAAATTGTTTTATAAAGTAATTTTCTATACATTCCTCCCGACAAATATACATAAGTAACAAGATATAAGTATCAATTCGTTAAATAATATCAACATACACCGTCAAAGTCAAATGAAAAATTATTTTTATGCAATTTACAACATAGAGGTAACATACCAGTTTACTAGTTTTACTGTCTGCAGAGTCACTCCCAGAATCAGTACTATCCCAGCCTTGTTTTCTTTTGCGTCCACTTCCTGGTTGCTGTCCTTTGATACTTATCACAGTGTCATTACTTATTGTGCTCTCCCGTAAGGCATCATCACGGAATCTAGAGGGTTTATAGAGTTGAGTCTCTACTGGATATGATGTTTTCAAATGAGAAGGGCACATCGTGTTTCTACGAGACAGTTCCCCTAAACGACCCCATTCAAACTCCATTGGTTCATCTTCGCAGTGGAATATACCCCCAGTGCCTTCTGAAATTAATTAACACATTTAATGATTAGTTTTCTACACAAAATAGTTAATATATTTTATCTTGGTCATGATGAAAACTGTAAAATTATAAAATCTTTAAATTGTCAAGACTAAGCAGTTCTTAAGTGGTATGAGAAATAAGGTTGTGACAAAAGTAAAGCTCAAACCAATGTTCCACTGGTTTAGAGGCAGACATCTTTACAGCTAGATCATCATTCTTCCCCAAGTTACAAATAGGCTAATGATTGGTCAATCAAAATCATTAGTGACGACACTGTTTAAGACAGAGTTTAACAGTCAGTCCTTATATGTATCTTCAAAGACTTAAAACCTACCTTATTAAAACTGTAACTATGACTTTTTTATGTTTCTATTAACCTCACAGATATTAAAAATTGTATATAATTTGACAAAGAAATGAAAATAAAAGTTCAAGATGAGAAAAATGCTTACTTGGAACATTTGACTTGCAAGAGTCAAAACTGCTGATACTCCTGTTCAAACTGACAGCTGACTCCCTAGATCGAAGTCTGTAAGCGAGAGATGTAGCAGAACCTATACTGATCGTATCTGCATTGTCAGCACTGAAAATACAACAAATCTTTAAAATATTTGTGTCATAGAAATAAATCTATATAAACAATCAAAATATTATACAAGAGTTGTCAGTAGGACAGCATGCTCAACTATTCATAGTGTTTGCTAGAAAACAAGAGCCCGGTAATCTAGAATGTTTTAAGTTAAAAATGTGCCATAATTCTGTCAAAATCCATGTTTGAGTTATAAACTTTGAACAGTGGCCTCCTATAATGCTCTCAAATATAAAAACTTTTTGAGACCGGTTAACTAAAGTATTTCACTGTGTGTGTCTCAATTTGACATACTTGGCAACACTACATGGAACCCTATTAAAATAATCCTTAGCCAATCTTATAGTAGAAAATAACATAAAAAAGTACTTACCTGGATACTGTAGAACTACTAATAGATTTGCCCATTCTTCTATGTGAGCGACTTGACCTGGTACTAGGAGTCAATGTATCATCGTTCTCCTTGTCAAACACTGATGTATTCAAAGGCACTGACGAAGGATGATTCTCTGAAATTACAACAGTTCAAGATAAAAACAATGTAAATCAGCACTATAAGGTGTCAAGTTACTCTAACATACATACATGTACATGTATATAACAACAAACAAATCTTTTAAAGAGTTGCAAAGTTCATTTTCAAGAAAATAGAAATATATTTTTTATATTTTTGTGCACATGATTTCAAATGAAAGCTGTTAAAACTTAAAGAAAGTTCTGCATGGTTTTATACAACATTTAGTATACACAATACTTGGGAAAATTGTTAACTTACCCATAAAGCTGGCATCCTCACAGTTTTCTCGTGATGATAACATTCTATTAAAGTCAGATGGATCACCTAGGAACACACTCCCACTTTTCTCAATCTCTTGCCTGTACTCCTTTATCTTTCTATTAGCCAGATCAAGCTGTGTCTCTAGATTACGAACCTGTTTACCTGCAAAACATAGAACCATATAATACCATAAAGAAAATCACAGAACCATATAACACTATACAGGAATAATAGAACCATATAATACCATACAGGAAAACATGTAACCATATAACACCATACAGGAAATCACAGAACCATATAACACTATACAGGAAATCACAGGACCATATAATAACATACAGGAAAACATAGAATAATATAATACCATATAGGAAAATAATAATGTTTTTTTTTTTTTACATCAACTACTCGAACAAAGTATTGAATAAAGAATATCTGAATAAAAAGTTTCATATAGAAATAAACAAGCCTTTCATTGTTAAACAATTTCAATCCATAAAAAGGTTAGTACTGTAAATAGTGGAATAAAAGAATAGGTACAATCTTTCCCCTACAAAACTAACAAAATTTGAAAGCATACCTAGTGACTTATTCTTCATCATTTCCATATTAAGTTTATCATTGAGGGGAGTGTATTCATTGATGAGTTTTTCTTCAGCCCTTTTGTAATAATCAAGTTCTTTGATTTGTTCTGCTATTTGAGTGGCTTGTTTGGCAATGATCTCCTTTTTCTTGGTATAATGAAGTTTATACAAATCTGTGTGCTCTTCTAACTTCTTCCGTTCAGCCTCAGTTGTTTTCAACAATTCTTCAACCTGCATTCATAAATATTCATTTATTTGCAATAGCAACATCATATAGAACAGTTCTGTATGAATACTATAATTATGTAAGCAATACACATATTATACTTAAGATAAAGTTGAAGAAAAAAGAATAACAAATTCATGCTGTTTACTTAGATTTATGCCAGTCTGAAAAACTTCTTACCTTTGAGAGTTCTGCATTTTCAATCTCTAGAGCAGTTTTCTTTTGTCTTAGTGAACGAATGTGCATGCTCATACTGTACAAAAAAAAAAAAAAAAAAAAAAAAAATTTACCAAAGGGAACAATGAAAAATATATATCTAATTGGGTT